AAAAAAAAAAAAAAAAAAAAAAAAAAGGAGATACCCCCAGCTTGTGATAATTAGCTTTCCCCTCTTGCATCTTCCTCGTGTTCACCTCCCACAGTTTGGACTCCCCTAACCAGACAAAGAGCCAGCCTCATCAAGTCACTCGCTTTAACACTCCCCATGGTCCCTGTGTGGCTGCAGGAACAGCGCCCTCTTCTCTGCCTCTTCTCTGCCTGTTCTCTCCCCACTGTGCATGTGCTTGGTGTCTCAGCTGTCATGCTCCTTGATGCACTCGCCATGACCTCCCCCACCCCGTGCCATTCCCATGTCCATGAATGCTCCCCTTCTGTCCCCTCTCTACTCTCCTGGGACTCAGGAACAAGGTCTTCCGCCAACCTTGCCCCTCCCCTGTGCCCCTGGCTTCCCCACCATACCATAACCTCCCCCAGGGCAGGGAATGTATGTTTTCTACCTCAGTGTTACTGACAGCAGCCCAGCTCCTGGCACAGCGTTGCAGAACGAAATCGGAAGCATCATGGTCACTTTCATTCAGAGAGCCACAAGCCCCAACACCAAAGGGACTTGGTCCTAAAATTCACATCCTCCTGCCCCGATGACCCCTCCAGGCCTTGGTGGAATTTCTGTCCATAGAGTGCACATGTGGGTGTCTGAATCTTTGTGTATCATCCAGCTCCCTCTCTTGCCTGGCAGGTGCTGGATGTGTCTGGGGCAGACATGTTGGCCAAGTCAATTGCCAATTGCCAGGTTGAGCTTCTGGAAAACTGTGGGCACTCGGTAGTGATGGAGAGACCCAGGAAGACAGCCAAGCTCATCGTCGACTTTTTAGCTTCCGTGCACAACACAGACAACAACAAGAAGCTGGACTGAGGCCCTGACTCCAGCCTGTATTCGGCACACAGCACCTGCTCCCATCCCCCAAATCTGACGCAGCCACCACTCTCAGGGATCCTGCCCCAAATGCGGTCGGAGCGCCAGTGACCCTGAGGAAGCCAGTCCCTTATCCCTGGTATCCACGGTTCCCCAGAGCTTTGGGGACCGTGAGAAAACCTCCAAGATCTTTTTCACAAAATAGAAGAAACTCATATGGAACAAAAGAAGAAACCCCAGCCATGAAATCTACCATGAAGTCTTCAAGTTCATGTTATTGACAAGCTGTACAAAGTAGCCACTTGGACCATAATCAAATCGAGGACATTTTCTTTGCGATATTCCTTATAGATGGAGACCCAAGATATTTTTGTTGCTTCAGGCGTATTCCCTTGCATGGGCAGTGGCTTTTATAGGAGCGTTAGTCCTCATTCGCTGAACCCTGTCATTTAGGTTGAATTTAAGTTTTACATAGAGACCCATGTATGACTGCAGCCCATTGGCTGCAAGACCCGGGAGGAAAGTGGCAAGTGGAAGAAAATGTTTACATGCACGGTGGGGCATTGTTCCAGCCCTCGGAGCAGCCGGAGCAGCAGAGTACATGGGTGCGTGGTTCATTCAGCACCCATGAAGTCAGATATGTTTGGAGTGAACCCACAACAGTCACAGAATGAACACCTAGCAGGGTAGGTTTCTTAGGAATAATTTATTATTAAAAAAAAATAGGACTAATAAAGCAATAATGTTCTAGACATCTGTCTGAGTAATCAGACTCAGGTTCCACACACAAGCAACAGCTCGTGGGCCTCTTTTCTATTTTGGTGTGCTACTCAGAACCCCTGGATGTAAAATACTAATTTGTTAATGAATTCTGTGAATTCTGTGAACAGTAACGTGATTGAAAATAAGTCCAAGCAGCTGTAAAAGTGACCACAATGACATGAAATAAATTTAATCAGTTTAGATCAGCAACATGCAGGTGGTTTCTATTTGTGAACTCCTAATTAGATGCAATGTTGGCAGAGTTTCTGTTAACTTTAAAATGTGTTTTTTAAAGTAAGCCTTGTTCGACAGGCTTTGGAAGTCTTTGCATGGATGATTTATTAGTTTTAAGGAATCATGTTTGCAACTTTTATTCAGTTGAAATTGTATATCTAAGGCCAGGTACAGTGGCTCACGCCTGTAATCCCAGCACTTTGGGAGGCCGAGGTGGGTGGATTGCTTGAGGCCAGGAGTTCGAGACCAGCCTTGCCAACATGGCAAAACCTTATCTCTACTAAAAATACAAAAATTATCTGGGTGTGGTGGCACACACCTGTAATCCCAGCTACCTGGGAGGCTGAGGCATGAGAATCACTTGAACCCAGGAGGTGGAGGTTGCAGTGAGCCGAGATGGCACTATTGCACTCCAGCCTAGGCAACAAGCGTGAAACTCTGCCTCAAAAAAAAAAAAAAAAAAAAAAAAATCATTCACTGAAATTGTATATCAAAAGCAAAAAGCAAGAGTCATCAAACTATTCTTTTTGACTCTTTTGTGGCATTTAGGAGCCCTAAACTCCCCAGGAGAGAAGCTTCATTTTTTCCAACTTTTTTTTTTCTTTTTACAGAAAATCTGCAGCCAAGTCATTCTGGGAATAAAGTGAGATAGAGTTATAGTTTAAATTGGAATTCTGGACAGTGTTTGAATATTTTAGTTTACCAGAAAAGAATGGAACTTAGAGCTTAAAAACAAGAAGAAGATATGAAGATGTGACATCAAGCTGGGATGCAGCTAAAGCAGTGCTCAGAGAGAAATTTATAGACTTCAATATGCATATTGTAAGAGAAGAAGCTAGGTGGAGTGGCTCACACCTGTAGTTCCAACACCTTGGAAAGCCAAGGCAGGAAGATTGCTTGAGCCCAGGAGTTTGAGACCAGCCTAGGCAACATGGCAAGACCCCATCTCTTAAAAAAATAAAAAAAGAAAAATCAATAAATTAAGCATCTATCTCAAGAAACAAGAAAAGAAATAATAGCAAAGCCATAGAAAAATAGAGGGAAGTAATACAGATGAAAACAAAAATCAATGAAGTAGAAAGGAAAGTAGATATTAGACATTTTATTTGTTCCAATTTCCTGTATTCACTGAGAATTCTGAGCACGGTGGGAGGCGGATTCATTTTGGTGGGCCTAGCTGATGAGAGATGGTTTCCTCAGGATCATGAAGAAGCCCCAGACCTGGGATGGAACCTCAGATCAGAAACCGCAGTGGATATAGGCGTTCTTCTGCTCTGGGTTGAATACCAGCTAAAGATGACATCAAAAGCAGTCTCTGAACTGTACCCACCATGGGGCCATTCAGGAAGGGTGTATGCCGTTTATCCCAGCCCAGAAGGACCAGTAGGCAGTTTCCACAGCTGGACACAGCTTCCATCTCCTCTGCTGGCACCAGAAAGCATTGACTACAAGCTGTGAGCAGAGAGGATGAAAGAGTCATTTCTAACTATAAGGTGGGTTTTCAGGTTCTTGCTTGGTGCTGCAGTTCTGGCCACACCTGGAAGACCCTGTGCCTCACTTCCTGCCTCTGTGACTATAGCAAGCCTGCTGGTTACTGCCAGCTCTGAGTCCCCTGTGCCACACCCCCCGGCCCCTATGGTGTGTGCCTTTGATGATGGTAGGTTGGGAAGAAGAAAGGACTCATTCATCACCCCCCTCCCTGAAAGACTGCGAGGAACTTCTGAAATGACAGTGGAAAGGCCCAGAAATCACAGCTGCAGCTGGGCTCTCATCCCACTGGCTGGAGCTGGGGCCTTCTGGGCTGTTGTGGGCCAACCCTCCTGGTGAGGTGTTGAAGAGGGACAGGCAGCAGTTAGAACTCAGTTTGCAGTCAGTCTGAGCTCCTTGTCCTGGACAGAGGTAACACTAGGAGTGATTGATGTAACAAATGCATCGGACTGATGGGCTGCCTGTGTAAGTTTGTATCGTCTATTTGAGCCCCAGTGAGTATTCCCCATCCTAGGGAACCTTACTTGTTGCTTTGCCCACAGGAAATTCACAGGAAATTCTTGGGCCAGGCTGGAGGACTAAACCTTGTAACTATGTGCCAGGGGCTATTCTGAGTCTTTTCACGCAGCCCTGTACCTGTGACACCATGCCAGTTTTATAGCAGAGGGACCGAGGCATGGAGCGGGGAAGTGTCTTGCCCAAGGTCATACAGCTTACGAGGAGAGGGGAGCCTCTCGTGTATAACTGAAGGTAACTTGTAAAAACAATGCTTTTACCTATTCAGGCAGGAGCTCTCCCGCCTACCTTACCAGTCTGCCTGGGGCCCCATTGGCTCACCCAGACCAGGCCAGTGTGTGGCAGCTTTAGCCGTAGATTGAGACTGGCTTGAGCCCCCATTGAAGAAGGTGACCTGGTTGTTGATTTATCATAGTTAAGGACTTCCAGCTGCCCAGCCTCCCGCCGGACAGGAAACAGAATTCACCTGGATTCCCACATCATTCTGCTAAGGACACAGCCAGCGACAGCTTGCCGTCCCCACTCCAGCCTCTTTAATAACCACGATTGGTGAAGGGCTCACTCACCTTGCTGATCCCTCTTCTGCCCCCATACTCTGGAAACGAGTGTTGTTTGTCCCCAGCAATATTCTGCTTTGGGAGAAATCTCAGCTCAGTCTCGCTGTCTCTCTCGGGTCTGGCATGGAAAGCAGTCGAGAGATGTGGCCTGGCCGGTCGAGGTGGCTCATGCCTGTCCTCCCAGCACTTTGGGAGGCTGAGGTGGGTGGATCATCTGAGGTCAGGAGTTTGAGACCAGCCTGCTCAACATGGCAAAACCTTTTCTTTACTAAAAATGCAAAAAATTTGCCAGGCGTGGTGGTATACACCTGTAGTCCCAGCTACTCGAGAGGCTGAAGCATGAGAATCACTTGAACCTGGGAGGTGGAGGCTGCAGTGAGCCAGGATTGTGCCACTGCACTCCAGCCTGGGCAGCACAGCAAGACTCTGTCTCAAAAGAAAAAAAGATAATGTGGCCTGCTCCTAGCTGCAGCTTCAGAAGCCAGCCCTGAGGCTCTGCTGGGGTCTGTCCAGGCGTCCTTTAAAGGGATTGCTTACTGGCCAGGGGCTATACCTGCCTTCAGACACATTTTAGGCCTAATATTTATATATAAATGCTGAACTTAGGCCCCCTCATTTACTTTCCAAGCCCTAGATATTGGTGGGTTGCTTAGGTAACTAACAACGTTCCAAAATGGTGGCTGTGGACTTTAACACGTGCAGGCCCCAGCCTTCTGCTTTGGAGGAGCCATCACCCTTCAGCTCTTCCAGCATCACTCCTTTAACCACAGACTGGACCTTCTCATCAGCCTTTTCTCCCTCCCTAACCCCAAACTGGGTGCTGTTCTTACAATTTCTCCCTTTCCTGAAAGAAAAAAGTCGAGCATTTTTTGGAGGGCTGGGGCTCATCACAGATAGGGCAGGGGAGATATCCTCAAATTACCTGCCAAGGCCAGGACCAGCAGGTGATAGTCCTGGGTCTGGCTCTTCTGGTGTCCCCAGCTACCCCGGGGCTCTGGGGTCCAGTGTCTGCTCCCTGGGGCTGGTACCAACCAGGGTGTGGACTTGGGGTTGCCTTTGCTGGCAGTGGGAGGAGAGTCTTATGACCCTCATCAGCCTAGTCAGGCAGAGGGAGAGGATGAGAACAAGTGACTGCTAGGGTCACCTTTCAGCAGCAGGACAGTCCCTCTCTCTTGGCTCCTGGAGGAACCTTCCCTTCAGTGGTTTCTGGATCTTTGGTCTTTAAATCTTCAAGGCAATGAACGGGATCTGAGGCCACACCTAGGAGGCCAGGAGCTGCAGCAGGGGATGGAAGAAGGAAGGGTTCGTAGGGACAGCAAGCAAGTGACAGTTCCAATGACCAAAGGCCAAAGCTAGCTGGGTGGAGGGGCAGGTGACTTCCTGAAGGACAACTGGAAAGGTGGCTGCTGAGACAGCCCTTCCCCAAAGCTCTCAGGCCAGACGTGATTCGAATTCAGAAGCGTTCTGACCTGGAAAGGTATCACAGTGTATATAGCATGTATCATGTGATGCTCTCTGCAGGGTCTGGGGCCACCACACATGACAAATAAATGCATTCATATTTCTGCCATGCAATGTATGTCTAGCCACAGTAAGTGGGACAAAAGCTGTAAGCCTCACCTTAGTTCAGATTAAGCATTGGCGCTCGATGAAGATATCTGGCTTCCAGGGTTTTCTTTTTTGTTATTGTTCTTTCAGGATTGCAGATAAGGGATTGGGAGCCTGCTTTCCAGGTCTTGTCTCTTGCCTTAGGGGTGGGCTTAGGAAGCATTTTTTTCCTTCACAGGGAGCAGCATACAGATAGGTGTGGTCCACAGCTCCCTCTTGTGGCCTAACTATGTAAGTAGCAGGTCCTGATTTGTGTTACAAAATGATGCTCTAATTATTAGTGTTAACAAAAATGATGCTTTGTTGCCTTAAAAGAAATCAAACAAAAAGATTTCTTTAAAAAGGAGAGTCTCCTATACCCTCTGCATGGCCTCACTTTCCCCATCAGTCAGTCCCTTGGGATTTCTGTGCATTTGCACCCATACATACAGGTAAGCAGTGTGAAACTGGTTTTGTGGATTTTTTTTAATGTAACACAAATGGGGCTATGCTGGACATTACTGTTGCCCACTCCTCCTCCTGCTCCTTTCCCTGGATTTCTTCTAGGTCCAAACCCACAGAGCCCCCAGGTTCCTATAACAGGGATGCAGAGGCCACCAGAGAAAGCGGGGTGCGAATCATTTTGTAGAGACCTCTTTGAACCCCCAGGAGAAGATCTCTGAATTTGAAGAAAGGATGCAAGACCCCTCCAGAAACAAGCTGCTTAATTACAGGGTGGTTATCCCCTCCCCAGATTCTCTCTTCCTGGGGCCCTGGAGCAACAGTCTTTTAGGAGAGAGGCTTCTAAGATCACTTCCAAAGAAAGTTTCCTCCATCATTTAAATACAGTTCAGAAATGCTGGGTGAGACAAAGTTAAACAGCTTGGCTCCAGCTATAACCCCCAGACAAGCAGGGGAATGACATCCTTTAGCAGCTGCTGGCAGAGGGGTGGGTGCTGGGGCAGGGGACCAGGCTGTCTCACTGTTCCCTGGGTATGGGGGTGGTTTGGACTTGGTAAGAGCTTCCAGTCTTTTTTACCATTGTCTGGTGCACTGCCCCCAGAGTTCCTGCCTGAAAGGGGTGTGCTTATGTCCTTCCCAGATCCCCTTTCCTAACTGCTGCATCCACCCTCCACCTGCTGTGTTGGCTGCCATGTTGAACAGCCCTCGCATGACTGGAGATGCCTTCGAGGCTATGCCTAGTCTCCTCTCACGTCCAAGTGTTGCCATATAAAATACGGGATGCCCCATTCAATGTTAATTTCAGATAAACAACAAATACATTTTTGGTATAAAGATGTCCCACTCATTATTTATCTGAAGCTCAAATTTAACTGGGCATTCTGTATTGTTGCTAGTTTTTGCGGAGAGAAAAACAGATAGGTGTGGTCCACAGCTCCCTCTTGTGCCTAGCTATGTAAGTAGCAGGTCCTGATTGTTACTTAGTAATTATTAGTGTTACCAAATGATGCTGTTACTTTAAAAGAAATCAAACAGTCAGGCACGGTGGCTCACACCTGTAATCCCAGCACTTTGGGAGGCCGAGGCGGGTGGATCACCTAAGGTCAAGAGTTCGAGACCAGCCTGACTAACTTGTAGAAACCCCCATCTCTACTAAAAATACAAAATTAGCCGGGCATGGTGGCACATCCTTGTAATCCCAGCTACTCGGGAGGCTGAGGCAGGAGAATCACTTGAACCCAAGAGGCGGAGGTTGTGGTGAGCCGAGATCGTGCCATTGCACTCCAGCCTAGGCAACAAGACTAAAACTCCATCTCTCTCTCACATACACACACAAAAAAAATCAAACAAAAAGACTGCTTAAAAAATGAGAGTCTCCAACACCCTCTGCACAGCTCCACCCTTCCCCCCTCAGTCAGTCCACTGGGATTTCTGTGCATTTGCACACATTCGTATGGGTAAGAACTCCTGGGCTCAAGCAGTCCTCCTGCCTCAG